TATATATATATATATATATATATATATATAATTATTAATTCAATAATCAATAATAATTATAAATAATTATCACTCAGATTATTAAAATGGCTTTATTATATTATTAAATCAATAATGAACTAAATTATTCATTAACTATTTAGCAACAATACATTATTCATTTGTGCAATCAAGCTTGATGATTGAAATCAAGTTTATTATTCCATGTAAATTAATATTTCATTATAGAACCATTTATATTAATCAAAATTATATTAATCAAAATTTTGTAAATTTCACTAATGTTCCAATAGTTTATATATTATAAAATTAATCATTGTCACATCTAAAAATTTAACAAATTCAATCAACTTTTTAACAATCTTTAAAAATCTTTGTAATTAATAAGAATTCAAAATTTACTTCCTATCATACATTTTCCTATCCTCAATATTCAATAAATAAAAATACTCAACCCACATACCATCATCCTTCAAAAAATATTCAAAAGAAACCTTGGAATTCCTCTACTCCATCATCAATCGCTCACGTTCATCATAGGCGGTTCATTTCCGATCCACCAGCATTCACTTGCACGGTCAGTAACGCGTGATCGATGCAAACTCGAATGAAAATTTGGTCTCGATGAGGGCGTAGATTCGGCTGTTGAACGATCTTGCACGCGGGCCATCCTGTTTTCGACATGCATCGCCGGCTTGGCATCTGCCAATCGGCTCCAGTTGAATAGAATTTCCGATGACAATGAGATTTCGATGTCAGCCGCGGTGTATTTCGAATATATATATATATCTCCACCCACGAACACCATCACGATAATAGCCTTTGTATTGTTCACGGATATTGCGCTTACAAAAGATCGTTTCGATTAACTGAACCAGAGGATTACGCGTCTCTCCGCTCTTCATCCACTCGCTCTTCTGGCCGCGCGCATTAACGGACAATAATTGTCGGATTTTAAAGAGCAATGAAGGTTTCGAAGTCGAGATCTGGGAAGTGAAAGTGAATATACAGGGTGGATTGAATATCCAGAAGAATTAACAATAACAGACTTTAAAGATTTTGAGGAAGATTTCAGAATGTAAAAAAATTTTTTTTAGAAAAATTTAAGTTTGTAGTAATAACTATCTTTTTTAAATTTTATTAATGTGATCTCTTAATAAAATTATAATCCACAATTTTATGATTTGATATAAATTTAGATATAATTTTTTTATAATTATATATTATATAAAATTTTTAATAATAGTATTAATGAGTATTTTATTAAAAAGATTTTAATTTATTGAAGAATTTAAAATATTAAAATATTTTTCTATTTTTAAAAAAGATAATAAAATGATTATTTTAAATAAAGATCTTTCAATTATTATATTATATTATTTGAGATAAAGTTGTAAAATTGTAAAAATTTGTAACTTGCCAATTTATTAATATTGATATTTTTTGTAATAATCATTGTGTAAAATATAAGAATGAAAATAATCAGGCGACTCACCCTGTATATTGAATATTTGGGAATCATTTGATACGTTTGTTTTCAGGCACAGGATTCGAATGCAGGATGAATTGGAGAACAAAAGAATGGGGAAAATGGTTTACGTGACGTTTCCTGGCGTTTCTAAACTTGAGCGCAATCTGACTTTTGTTTTCCACCGAATGAAGAAGATTTCGCAACAAATACGACAGTTCAAAGAATAAGTAAGAGAAATTTGAACAGGTTCATATGCTGAAAATGAAAATTTTTAGATTTTTACATTCAAAAATCAAAATAAAAAAATTATATAAAAATATCCTACCTTTTAATCATAATAAAATAAAACAAAAATTTTTCAAAAATTATTATAAATTAAATAAAATCCATGTTATTATACAGCAGTCTTAAAAACATCAAAAGATTTACAAAACATAGTGAAATTTTATACGATTATTCACCGGAAGCCAAAAAGATATCAAAAATTCAGAGAAAGAAAAACGTATAGGTGTACTTCCTACAGCAATCCTTGAATCTTAAAAATGGTACAATCCCGGATTTACCGCGGTCGTAAAGATCCTTTTTCACCGTAAAGTCTCTCATTGTCTCAGATTACAATCTTCAAGGCAAGCTATTGCGAATCCTCTTCTTATTCCCATTCCATCAAGAATCCAAGAAGCGTACGGATTCACATAAATAATGACCAAAGACTCTGCGACAATCACGTTCTTGACAATATCGTTTTTTAGTCGGATTTGTTCAACCATCTAAAACAGGCCTAGCTAACTCAAATTGTTCCACTGGTTTGCAAATGAAATGAACAAAAGAAATTTCTTGCATTTTTTAAAAATATAAATTTGTACAAATATACATAGTCTAATTATTTTATCCACAATTGTTAAACTTTTAAAAATTCGTTTCATTATTCGCACTATCGATCAAATTTTTGGAATTATTATACATTCCATAAAATCTAACAGTTTAAAAGATACTCAACTTTGAATTCTACCTGCAAAATTAATAAATTGAAGTAAACAAAATTAATTTAAAGAGTTTCTTAAGATTCCAATCTTTTGATTATCAAAAATAGAACATAAATTACAACTTACACTTTTAAAATAAATTAAAAAATTCTTATGACTATCCAAAGAGTTGGCCAGGCCTAATATAAAACATCAACAATAAACAACTTCTCAAAAATCCCAACGTTTCCATCACAGCTCCAAGCTTGTCCATCATCATTGTCCATCTCAATCAACATTACTCCATCAAATTCATTCCTCTGCTCTTTACCCTTTCTTCTTTATTCATTAAACGCTAGTGGTGATCTGTTCGATCACAGTTACGTCCCTGTGCCGTCTCGGCCGACTTCTGTACGAGTCCTGATGACTCAGACCCTCGGGCACGCTCTTGCTGGGTCTCAAAGGCCCGTAGAATTGCGGTTGGTAATAGTGTTCGGCAGTGTGCATCCTCTCCATCTCCCTCTCGCGGAAATGCTCTTCGTCGAGGGGCACGTGTAACGATTGGGACTTGGGCAACCTCGGTCTTGGCGGTGGAGGACAGGCACACGGCGGAGGTATGCTCATATTTGAGAGGTGCGACGAGCCAGGAAGAAGAGGAGACGCCGGTTGGCGACCCCAACCTACCAGGAAGAGTAACGCTGCACCGCACAAGGAACTTAACGTGCACGCGTAGTAACCCACCCTCGAGCTGTTCGCGTTCATGTAACCTGCAATTTGAAGATAGAAATGTCGTTATCGAAGGATGATTGATAGAATAGATGGTTGAAATTGGATATAAAAATTTCTGTATCATGAAATTACATATTAAAATATATAATTTTTTTTCATAGCTTTTTTTAAACAATATGTAATCTTGTATTTATATAATTTACTAATATTTATATTTATATTTTTTTCTTATTTTTTGGAAGAAACTTTTAATTTACCAGTAAGAGGAACTCCGAGAAGAATAGGTAAAGCTTCTGCGGCCTGCACAAGTGCCCAGGAGCGTGCGAAGTGTCTGGCTCTTAGTCTTTCGAGGGCTAACATTTTTAAGGAGTAAAGGGCTCCACCGAGAGACGCACCGTACAAACCGGAAGCTAATACCAACCCGTGGTAGCCTTGCACGCTGCCCAATGCCACTTGAGCTATAGCTGAAACAGGAACAGTGTGATGAAGATAAATGTTTTCCTTGATTTATTGCAAAAGAACTCATATAAAAAAATCTAATCTTTAAAGTGATATTGACAATTTTTGAGATACAAATTGAAATTAAAGTTTACAAAATATAAATTTTCATATAAATCTTTGAATAATTATTACCATAAAAAAAACATTGATCACATATAGATTCATACATTTATAACTCTTTGGCATCACATAACTATAACTTGGTATTATCATCAATTAAAATCCAAAATTTTCACGAAAGTTAATTCTTGGCTATACAATCACTAGCACGTTTATAACAGAAACTTTTAAGATTGCCATCCATGTTTCAGAGAGATCCGGTGAATGGTTATGGAGCATTGAAGCTCAATTTATTTCGTAATCCTCTTACCGGTGCACCGGTCATTAGCGCTGGCCGGAAATAAAGCAACGAAACACAATTTCACCTAAGCCCCGATTGTTCGATACGGCGATACTTTTTCTCTATAATTGACGCGTCGAATATTGATATTATCCGTTAACTGCATTATATTTCTATTGGTGGAAAAATGTGTCGATCAATATGAGATCAATATATCCTCACGATATCGAAATTAATTTCTGTATAAAAATTTTATCCATTAAACTTGATTATACCATTCTTAAAGTGTTTATATCAAGTCGAATCTCGTGCAAATTTAAGTTTACTTTAAAATTATTTATATATTCGATATCTTATCTTATAATAGGATTCAAATTCAATTTTCTTCATTGAATTATATTTTCCTAGAGATGAACAGGTTGGACAAATGGAATAGGTTAAGAGTTAGACTGGCATGTGACAATTGTTCTGGAGTGATTCCGATTCGCGTGGAAGCATGAAGGGTTCAGCAAACGAGACGAGATAATGAGACGCATGAAACGGTGGTGAAAAAGGTTGATGAGACAATGATGATGGAGGTGAGGATGGAAGATGAAGACGATGGTGACGTATGATGACGTATAATAGCGTTGCCTACAAAAAAAATGTTTAATTAATTTAATTAATTTGGAAAAATAACGTTTTTTATTAATAAGAAAACAGATAAATATATTATCAATAATCATAATAGTTTTTTGATGCCATTTGTTATATCCATTGCTAATTAACAAATTATCAATTAATTGCCAATTAATTAATAATTGAAATATTGTATCCGACAATTTTTAATTAATTATTATTATCAATTACTTCTATTACTTTAATATTTCTTCTTAAAAAGAAAAAAAATAATTAGAAAATAGAATAATTGAAAATTTGCCTAAATAAACTTTTTCACTGCAAAATACATTTGCCCCTTTTCTTTCTTATTCACTCGTTTTCTTACTCTTCTTCGTACAAACAATTCTTTCATCAACCCCAAAAATCATCCAACCCAACCATCTTCAAACCACCCCATATTTCCACCTATATCACAATCTACCCTAATACACCCTTACATTTTCCTACAGACATTTCCCAACACAAAAAAAAAAGTTACAAAGCTCGTCCAACTTTACTCCCCCTTTCCCTCAAATCTGGAAACGCGCAGAAAATTGCAAATTCTTTTCCTTCACCGTATAGCTCA